AATATCCTTTAATGATTAAGCCCAAGAAGTTATGAATTGTCATCAAAGAAGTCTTCCCCTTCAACACCAAAACAAGTCAAAAGTAAATGTTAAGAGTCAGTAAATTTTAATTTTAATAGATAAATGTTCCCAGTACTACTCCATGTCACCACTTCCTTGCACCCGTCAGATCACAGCATGGACGGAAAAGCACTAAGAATCCTGACAACGACCCTTGAACACCCTTCATGTGGGTTGTTTCCATTAATTATTCAGATTTTTTGAACATCTGTAACAAAATAATATATTAATATATATGTGTACATAACTTACTTTTGATAATGAAATTGGAGCTCTGGGTTAATGTTGGCCCCACTGAAGTTTCACTCTTTAACATATATCTTTAATGCTAGAAGAACATTGATTTTAAAAATGAACTCTTGAAAAAATACTGGACAAGCTTCTTTTCACACTTATGATAGAACCCAACCTAACTTTTAAAAATGTTCAATGCAAATAGCATGTAACTTAGTATAAAGTGTTGCAGTACTAATTTCTGTGTATAATGCTTTTATACAACCCTCTTTTAATCTATTTACTCAAGTAAATTTCTTATCAGACTTATCTAAGTTTCATTTGTAAAACCTTTTTGAAAATAAAATTTAATGCTATATATATATTTCAACACACTAATTTTTTAAATTGATATTCTCAAAGCTATCTCAAATATATTAGTTCATCAATCATCAGTTTTTCTTAAACACAAACCACATTTCTATCACTAAACTGAGTTCTCTGGGGGACTAAAAAAATTTAAAAAGAAATCCAGCCAGACACGACTGAAGTGACTTAGCAGCAGCAGCAGCATTCACTTGGTCCCTATGAACCTAATGTTTGTAATCTTGTCTAAATCTAACAGCATCACTGTACAAATAAATAAAAATTAGAAAGCATTTTCTCCTTCATAGATGTATTCACATCCACACTTTTCTTTTGTCTACTGTCTATTGACTGATTCCTGGTCAGTGTTTCCATTAGATTTCATAGCATGAGCTGATAATTTTAATAATATAAAGTCTGCATAGAAACACAAGGCCTGATATCTTTTATGATCTGAATTTTATAAAAACTGCTATGCAGGAAATTCCATCTTCAATATAGGTTAGGATGTTACTGCCCAGCCTGCTCATTAACAATGCCAGGGTAAAATTAACATTACAGTAGATTTTTTAGACTGTTTTTTCTTTCTTTCCTTTTTCTCCTCAGTGACTGAGATGCTGGTAAACGTCCTCAACATCTGCTCAGACGATGAACTAGGATCAGAAGAAGATGGATTTGATGGTAAGACCCTTGAGCCTTTGTGCTAATTCAGTTTGCTTGGCATCTTACAGGTAACCCTAAGAATAAATTTCTAAGATTTAGATTATGTGTGAATAAGATACTGTTGAGGATGAACAATGTTATTATATTTTATAGTTGCTTTGAAGAAATATAAAGAAACAAAATCCATGAGTTTCCCCATCACCTTGAAGACATAGCTGAAGCAGTAAAGTATATAACCATGTTTCAGTAGCTCACATTGCTAAATCACTTTTTTGGCTCTTTTAGTGAAGTTGTCCCTGTCAGTTATTCAAATTTTGATGTCTATGATAAAAGATAACTTATACATTGACATACTGATATTTATGTTAACTTAATATCTTTTCATATCTGTAATAATTAAGTTATTAGGTTTTTTATTATTGTTTTTTTTTTAATACTATCTGGTATTTGGTTACCTTCAGAGAGTACACTTTCTATAAAAGACAAAGATTCTCGATGTGGATAGAGAGAAAAATTACTCTGGCTCTTACAAAAGGGCCCTAAAAGGGATGGTAATGTACAAAAATGTAGTTGGAAGAGGAAAGTGCAAGAACAAAGTTCACTTCCATAAATGTCTAATATGTGCCTACTCTGCACAGGACACTCAGGATTCTAAAATGCATTAAAGACCTAAGAGGAAGTTGCAGTCTGATTAGAGAGACTGATGTGCAAACATAAAATATCAATAAAATAAGAACATTATCAAATAAAAGGGGATGGTGGCTGTGGAAACCAGATATTGTGACAAGTTTAAATTGATATAATTTTTTACCTTTTGGAACTGTACATGTGTAAAATGAAGCAAGAATGCAGCCTTTTCTGAGAGTTACTGTCTGAACAGCGTGGTTTAATATTTATTTGAGCTTAATACAAGTCACATCTATAAATGCAGAATACCTAACTCTTTAGGCAAAAGTAAAATAAAAGTGTATATTTACTCACATACATGCAATCTATATATTCAGGTAAATTTAAAGTGTACAATTATTTCTACCACCTCAAGGTTTTTCTCCTTCCTGTAACTTCTCTTTCTTCATTACTTGTCTCCATGTTACCACTCTTAAGTCATATATCACATTGTGAGGGAATGTACAATACAGGGAGGAAAAGAATTTTTTAAACTTTTACTAGGTTAGAATGAGCTAAAAAAACAGTTTGTAAAAACTTTCTTAAGTAAACATATTGATATATTTTAAAATATTCAGAAAACCATTGGGTGTTCTGTGCTTTATCCAGATTCTGTCTGTTCCATATGTTAAAGCCACAGTTTGCCATTGTTAACTTTTCTAGGTATAGTTAGTTGGTTATATACCATATATAACTATCTATATATAGTTAGATAGTTATAATACCATCTAAGAGATATTAAATCTGCCTAATGGAAGGTTAGAAAGATATTCTTTTTCCCTCAAGAAAGAATACTAACCTGATGGAATCTAAATCTTAAAAGTCAACAAGCATGTTGTAATAGATGCCTTTCACTATGTTTCTGTTACTCCTCAAAAAGGAAGATCAAGTAGCATTAATACACAAGTGTTCCTCTGTTAACAAGTCTCGGTTTTAGCGAGGTTTATTGACCAATAATTATTAAGTATATAGCACATGGTGTGAAATAAGTAGACCTGCATATGATTGTAATTATATGTTAATTCACTCATTCAGTAAATATATATTGAGCACCTACTATGTGCTGCCAGATCCTAAAGCCAAAAGTACCTGCACATTTCAACAGTTCTGCTGTTTCCTGCACAGTTGAGAATCACCAAGACTGCCTCAGTGTTTACTTCACTTTCGTGGGTTCCTTCACCCACTTGCTCAGTCACTTATATGAAAGGATGCATTTTGGAACTTCCTCTGCTTTAAAATAATTCGTTCTAATCAACGTGCTGTGCTTATCAGCAGTTGCTTTTAAACCTGTTCACACCAATGACGGAAGTGCATGTCCTTTTCAGGGCACTTGGAAGAATTCTTTTCTTTCTAAGCAGACCGGTGAACACTTACTGCCATGTTTGAATCTTGGGTCATTTCTGCAGAGAAACAGCTCCGACTTCTAAATGGGATTATTTTTTAGCTCATATCTCACAAATTTGCCATCTGAGGAAGAAAAAGGAAAACAGAAGTAAAGTTTTAATTAAAAATATGTTTAACTTAGGGTGGTATACACTTCAGAGTAAATCATCAGAAATGTTCTTCAGTGCTTTATTTAACACGACACAGAAATTATGGATTTCCTCAAAGCTACTCAGAGAACAACTTGAGAATCTTCCCAGAACTATTTAACTCTTTTGGGGACAATAGTTTATTGAGAACATATCTTTGTGGTTTTGTTCTTTTTTTTTTCTCTTTTTTGTATGATGTTATTTTCAACCTGATCAAAGTTCCATTCTCCCACCCTGCTCCTCCTTTCGGCAGCCTGCAGTGTCTGTCTCTCTCTGGGGCTGGCCCTATGCTCTATCAGGCTTCTTTCTGCACTTGTGGTTGGATCCAGAGGTGAAAGCAGGAATCAGAAGACATCAAAGGACTTAATTAAAGCTCTTCCTTAACTGGCTGCTTATTCTAAAGCAAAAGCATCTCTTGATGAGTCTTTGTCAAACCTTTCTCAATATTTTGCTTAATATCCAACATCAGCTATAAAATCCAGGGTAGTAATGGTGTCTTCCCCTGGTGGCTCAGTGGTAATGAGCCTGCCTGTTGCAATGCAGGAGAGCAGGTTTGATTTCTGGGTCGGGAAGGTCCCCTGGAGAAGAAAAAGGCAACCCACTTCAGTATTCTTGTCTGGGAAACCCATGGACAGAGGAGCCTGGCGGGCTACAGCCCGTGGAGTTTCAGAGTAGACATGACCTCGTGACTAAACAACAGCGATGGTGCCTTTGCAGACCATGCCTCTCAGAGCACCTTATCAAGGGGACTTGTTAGTGTTTATAAAGTCTGTCACAGATAGGAATTCTCCTCACGTCCTTGCGGAGTGCTAGGTGTGGGATTCATTTTGCTTCTTTTCCTTTGGGTTTTGTCAGCTCTCTCTACCACTTGACAATGAAGGTGGCCACAGCTAATGCTTAGGTGTTAGGCATCATTCCATGTGGTTTATCTGTATTAACTCTTACCCTTTTGGCAAACAAAAACTTATAATTAACTATGACTTATTTTATGGAAATTTCCTAGGTGATTTATATTGTCCCTCATCCTCAAGACAACTTTTTGATATAGGTGCTTTGATTATGCCTAGTTTAACAGAGCTCAGAGCAGTGAGGTTAAAACCTAAGGTCAAAGAGCTAGTGAACTAATGGAGCCTGGATTCATGCCAGCGTCTACCTGTTTCTCAGACTCTTGAACTTTCCACAAGCTATGGCTATAGTGCTTGAATTTTTTTTTAACAGCATGATGAGTTTTTTTTTTTTTTTGCAAAACAACACTATTAGCGAAACATAATATACTTTAGTTTGTTCTGTTAAATAGCCATAAAATAAAGAAATAGATTTTTTGCACAATCATTTGGCCATGAAAGTCAGAGCAAATAAAATAGTTTTGTTTTACTCCTTTAACCTTAATTCACTCCAAGAAGTTATGTGTTTGATAATGAGAAAAATTTTACTGCATATGAATAGACAAAAAGTCTCCTGGCTTGCCTAGGCTTCTGCTGGGTAGAAGTCATGTCATGAATTTCTACTCCTCAGCTTCTGCCTTACAAATAAAGGAATTTGATAGCCTGTCTAGAAAAAGATCACTGTTTTAAATTGGTCTGTGGTTCTTTTCTGTTGAAAATAAAATACAAAACTTCTGTTATCTTGTAAAGTTTTGAGGCAGTTTAATGCCAACTGAATGTCTTTTGAGGATCTGGTTTATATGTATTGGGGTCTTTGTCCTGTTTCCACTTCTGATTTTGGATGATAAAAGGATAGTCTGGTTTTAATTTGGGTTTGTTATTCCCCAGTACATGTCAGAGAAGAACGAAATCCAAGTAGATGTATCTCATTTAGTAGTTAATTTTCATTAATGAAGAAGACTAATTTCAGAGCACAGATTAGTAAGTGATCCCAAAGTGTGTGGAGTGGCGGGGGGGGGGCAGAGAAGCTGACAGAAATCAAGCAATCTCCATCACAAAGCTTTCTTTACTGTTCAGTATAATAGGAAGTCTGGAATAGCATTAAAAGCCTAATGACACTTTCATGAGTTAGAAATATTTATTTGGAACTTTCTTTTTGTCTAAAATCTTAGACTCTGAGATCACTATCTTATATATATGTATATATACATATGTGTAAGCAAAGTATGTTTGAGACTATGATATGTGATAAGTCTGGCTAACAGGAAAGAACTCTGGAGGTAAAACTGAAACCCTGTAGAATAAGAAAGAAAAAATAATAAAAACTAATACGTTTCAAGCCAAGTATAGTTTCAAGCTGCCCTGGAAAGACTTAGGATTAAATTAGAATTTATGTCTCTGCTTTCATCTAAAGGAGCAAACCACATGGTGGAACTCTTATCCTTTATCCACATTTTTGCCTTATCCTAATGTTAACCACAGGCAAGTCACCGAATATGGAATCAGAGCAGTTTTTTTGCATGCCTCTACGAAACCATCTAAATTGTATACAAGAAAATTATCTTCCATCATCTGCTTTGAATTATTAGATAATTCTTCAAATCTAATATCACAGGTTCCAGAGTGTCTCCCCACTGCTTTCTGTCTAACTTTAAAAAATTATGCAGAACTTTTTAAAGTGCAAAGTTGGAAATTAGTAGGACTTATGTGCCATCTTACTGGTCCTGGAGGAATATCTCTTTAAGGGCTCGGGTAAATCATTTCCTACTGAAGTTGTATTTGTTTGCCGTGATGAGTGTTTGAGATGAATGCCATCTTAAAAACGCCCTTCTGTTTTGTGTGTCTGGCAGCACATGTACTGAAAGCCATTGGCTTAGAGCTCTTCCTGTAGCTGTAATCATTGTCATTTCTGAGCAGCTCATCTCAGCATCTCACATTTCAGGTTCCCAATCTGAAAAAAAAAAAAAAAGTTATGTTCTATAATAATTGGCAGTTTAGGAGAGAAAGTATTACATTTAATATGAAAAAATTTCAAAGAAATGTTTAGACATACTATCAAACAAGAGCTCTGAGGGCACAGTGGCCGTATGATTCTTGTTCTATCAACTCTTAGCATAACCTGCCATCATCTTAAAAGCTCTGCTTGAGAAAAAGCACATACTTTTTCCAAGCTTGGAAAAATGCTTGGAGAAGGAACAAAGGATGAGTTGGGTTATAATTTAGAAACTGAATAAAGTATGTCAAGGTCGAGGTGACTAGATTGGAACAATGATAGTCTTAATAATAAAAGAAAGAGGGAGCTATTCCAAAGAACTGGCCAAGGACTTAACAACTATGGAATCAGTGGGCAAAGAAAACCAAAGCAGGTTTGGATGGTTCAAACCTTGGTACCTAGGAGGATGAGAACAGTTATGGAAAAACTTCATCCATTTCAGGAGAAAGATGAGTTTAGTGTAGCAACCCCCAACCTTTATGGCACCAGAAACCTGTTTCATGGAAGACAGTTTTTCCACGGGCCAGGGATGTGTGTGTGTGTGTGTGGGGGGGGGGGGGGGGAGGATGGTTTAAGGATGGTTTGAGTGCATTACATTTATTCTGCACTTTATTTCCATTATTATTATATCAGCTCCACCTCAGGTCATCAGGCTTGAGATCCCGAAAGTTGGGGACCCCTGGTTTAGTGACAGATGTGAGTTTGAGTAAAAGTGACATGGCTCTGGAAACATACAAGCAGGATTTGGAAATGGAGCCCTGGAAATTGGGAATGAAATTGGAACAGTTGAGTGAGGCTTTGTGTTAAAAGTCACAATTGAATCTACTCAGAGTCAAATGAGCCTCCAGAGTTACTGATGTGGAAGGAAACATCAGAAAATTGAGTACTAGTCAGGAAAATTATCCCTTCTTTATGAAACTGAAGAAAGACAAACAAATGAAATAGAGAAAAGAGTGATGAGGTAAAGACAATGAGAACCAGGATTGTGGAGCAGTTCAAGCATTCAAGCAGCAGCTGTTTAAAAATATTTGCACCAAATGCATAAAAATTACTATGAGATATAAATCTTACCAGAAAACCAGAAAATGAAATATTAGGGTGTCATTTGTCAGATAAAAGATTATTGGAAAGAGGCAAATAGCAAAATTTGTTTAATATTTATAATAGCTAAAAAAGAAAATTGAAATTATTTTTTAAAAGGCCAAATACTAAAATAAAACTCAAAGCACCTCAATTTTTATATCATGGTATATTTCTGTTTTGTTTTCTATATTATTTTTAAATTTCTGCATAAAATATTCATAGAATACCTTTTTCTGTTATTCAGTGGTAAATAAAAACATGGTCTCTGCCTTCATTGAGCTGAGAGTACAGTACAATAAGAAACCAATTTTAAACAGGTTGCTTTCACAGAGGATTTAGACGATTGGAGGAAGGAGTATAAATTGGGATAAAATACTTGATAGTTGAAGGAGGAAACATAAGGACATCTTTCTTGTTCTCTTCTACTTCTGACAAAGAAAAGAAAAACACTTTGTGTATTTTACTGTTTTAAGAAGTATGACTATGTGAGAAATCCATGTAATTTTTCCAAAAAATTACATGTCAAAGATGGATATCAGTTTATCAGTTTTAAGTTCCTGTATCTTTTTAAAAATAACAGAATTTGCATTATGTAATTGGAGAAAGGAAAGGAAGAAATCTATAAAAAGAAAGACTAGTCAATATTTTATAAAAGTCTTTGTAGTTGCTTGTCATACTTTTGTTAATTACTTTCCGGTTTATTCCTAATTTTTTTAAATTAATATTTCAGTGTGTGATTTAGAGGCTAAGTCATTTTGGTCACTATAAATGTATCCTTTTTCCATCATGATTATGCTATAAAAAGGAAACAAATTTTATATCCAGTGTATTATTAAAACTGAAACATGTCTAAAAATGTACACAGATATTTACTAGATACTAGGGTATAAATTCCCATCTGTATATAGGGCTATTAATATTTGGGGCCTGTACTACCAAACAAGACGCCTGGGTAGCCATCATACTGTAGTCAGTATCATCAAGTCTGACTTATATGTGATTACAATAATGAAAATCTTTTTAAGTTGCCAACTTACATGATACAATAGCACAGATATTAAAGGTACTTTTTTGTCTTCTTAGTACTACATGATTTTGCACAAATGAGTTTATTAGTTGGCATAATTTTCACATTACAGAAAAGTGCAGACTTTGTGGAATCAACTAAATGCTATATACAGCTATCTCCCCATTAATGAGTAAGTGTCTTAGTTGCTCAATCATGTCCAACTCTTTGCAACCCCATAGACTGTATATAGCTTGCCAGGCTCCTCTGTCCATGGGATTCTGTAGGCAAGAATACTGGAGTGGGTTGCCATTTCCTTCTCCAGGGAATGTTCCCGACCCAGGGATTGAACCTGGGTCTCCCACATTGCAGGCAGACGCTTTAACCTCTGAGCCACCGGGGAAGCACCATTTTCTTTGTACTAAAGCATTTTGTGGGTCCAGCTTCTTAATCTGAAGATTGCACTTAGAATAATTACTAATTGATTGAACAATGGCAGAGTTGTTATAGGTCCAAGGCCTGTAAAACATTCTCTTTATAGTTGTTTGATCTCAAGTGGCATGTTTAAAGGCTATATGAAAAGGTTTAATAAGTGCTCAGAAAAATCTAAAGTTTAAAAATATTTTTCTATCAGGGTAGTCTATTTTTTGCTCTCCTAAAAATCAATTTTCCCCCCTTCATCTTTACTCTTAGCTTATGAGAAGCTATGACATTTCATCCAGTTTTTCTCAGAATTTTTAAAGAACAGAAATCTTGATTTTATTTGGTCACCCATCTTTGTGGAATGGTCTTTTTTTTTTGACTCAAAACAAAGCCATTAGCATCCTGGCTTCTCCTATTCTTCCCTAGTGAACTAACATCATCTGCAGTCCATCCTGGTCCAACCAGGTATAGCCTTGTTGGCACAAAACCCAACTGAGGCCCCAACTAGGCAATTTGATATTAATGAAGATCACACAGTCAGCCTTTTAATTTACAGTGAGAAATGTAACTGTTAGAAGCACTGGACTGTTCACCTCTGCACAAGCATTTACTTCTTAATATAAAGAGAAAACATTTTTGAGTATCATGTATCAAAGCTCTGTTTAAGTGCTTCAGCAGGTAGCATGGTACCTGGCACTAGTCTAAATGCATTCTTCCAGCATTTAATATGTATGCTCAATTAGGTTTTTAATAAATACATTTTTCAACTATTATATCCTCATCCATATTCAGAATAATCCTTGATAGGTTAAACATCCAGGCATTATGAGTATTTCTTCTATAGACAATATATCTCCATTATTAGCTTGACACTTGTAATTTTATCTTATTTTGCTTTTATTTTCATTGTCAGTTTATAAAATTGATGCATGTCTGTTATGATAAAGAATTCAATCCAAAATGGCATTTCACATGCTACTAGTTTCTACTTTGGTGAATATAAATAAACTGAAATGTCCTCTGTAAGGCATAGGCTGAATATGTGAGAGTTTCTCAAAAAATCAACCAAGCTTCCTCATCTACTCTAAAGTCTAATTTTTACCCAAGTTATAATTATGCTTATAGCCAATTTCTGCAGCTATACCAAGGAATCATTGAACAGATGGAACACAGTGTCTCAGAGAACAAAAGTCCATGGAATCAAATTAACACTTGGAAATGAAAGTAGCTTTTAACTATGTATTTAAGATAACCAAATAATGACAGTTATTTGACATTTAGGAGCAGTCTGTACATTTTTAAGGCTTCCGATCCAAAGAGTCCAGTTATGTTTTATGACAGAGAAGTAAGAATAAATAGTCTAGGCTGTGCTAGCCTTTTTGAAAATCTATGACACAGGAAAGTCTTTTTATTTTAAAAAATATATATTTTCAAGGATCCTCCGGCACTTTCAAAATGACATGTAAGACAGACTAGCCCTATGCCAAATATCACACCATTGTAGGGCCCATTACATGCTAAGATTTTAGTTGAGCTAAAAAGCATATGGAAGAAATTCAGAATATGTGGTTTGGAGTGGTTTGGAATGAGTAGTCATTATGTCCCAATTTTATCACCTATAGATATGTAATATAGTATTGTTAGAATCAAAATTAGAAAGGTATTCCAAATACTTTAGGTTATAGTCCTCAAAAAGATCAATTTTTACAGAGATTTTTTAATTTGTTATCTTGAAGGTGTTTTTCTCCAATAGAATAACCTACATAAACATACACACAGCTATTATGTGAGGGGTAACACCTCCCATCTCATTGAACTAGGTTTAACCAGTACTGACCCTAAATGGATCAGCAATACAGGATTCTCCAATTAGGGCTGGTCATGGAGATCTTCCAACAGCTATCGCCTCTAGAAATTGGGTGATATAATTCTTGATAGAGCAGTTATCTTCATGCCAGAGTATCTGGACTGCTGGGATTACCCAAAGGGATTTCAAGATTAGTAAGGGAATCCATTTTTACATCCTCAGCCTACATGTGTCTTCATTCCTAAAGACAATCAGCCTGGGACCTCATCTGAGCTTGCATTAGATGCAAGGCTCACTGCAGTCTTTCCTTTCCCACCTCCTCATTCATTCTCAGTTGCTTTTCTCTTATTTTAACAGAAAAAGGCATGGGCCTCCCTAGATAGTCACTGTGAACACTGCCCAGAGTACTAAAACAAAGAGACAATGGAAAAACTCAGTGCCTAGCAAGTCTCCTTAATCAAGACAGTGTAACTGCTCTTTCATCCTTATCACTAAGGGATACATTCAATCAAATTATGTTTCTATGTTTTTTTGAAATATTCATAAACATTTATCATATACTTGTGCTACTGGGTACAGTTATGTGCTACTAATTATTGTGATTTTGATTACACAAGAAGTTATAAGACTTAGGGCCTCATTGTCTCAGGAAATTTTTAAAAATAAATTTAAAATTTTAAGCATATTTTTTGGAAGAAAAGTATAATGTGATAAAATAGTGTATATAATATACTAAAATCAGGAAAATTGAAATGGAAATGCAATTTCAAAGAAAAAAGGGCCAACATAAGAATTTTTTTCTTTGAAAGGATGATGATAGGATGAAATTGCTATGTTATTTATATACCACTGATTTTAAAAAAAAAAATAGTATTGTCAGTTCATTTTAAAATGGCAATGTTTACAACATTATATATCCCACATAATTATTTAAACTTGGTAGGGAGAATAATATTCTTTGGGGGATAGTCTTTTGTAGATGCATAAGTAAAAAAAGGTAAGGACTGCATCATTGTAGCCAGTCCATCAGAGTGGACAGTTTCTCAGTGCTTATAATATTGCCCCTAATTCCCAGGACTCAAGTGCCTAGTGATGTAGAAAAATGTAGTGAAGTGCTTGTCACGCTTACCACAGCCGAGGGCAAAACTGGGTAAATGTTTAAGTAACTTCTGTACGGCATCACTGTGTTGAATATAGAATCTCAGGACTTGTTATTGTTAAACCTGTTCAGAGAAAGAAAAGACAAGAAAATAAGTTTTAGGCACATGGTTTGGCTCCAAGCCTCATGGGGGCCAATTCGGAAAATGTGTTCTCCCATAAAAGATGGTCTATAGGCTTATGATTTCATCATCATTTGTCAAGAGCTATAGAGACCAATTATACAAAGTTTTTAGAGGCTTCTGAAGACATATTCTGTCTTTGCATGGTATCGTATTTCTAAATTGCTGATTTTCGATGGAAACCTTTTGTCTTAAATGTAGCACAACAAAAGATCTTATTATCTCAGCACCTTAGGCTTTGTTCCATCAATAACCTTTATTCAAATTCAGTAACTTCCCTATGTGTCAAAAAATAAAATCTGGAGACATGTCTAAACTCTACTTAAAAGTAATGAATCATAATAAAATTTTACTTTCCAGTGGCATAGGTTTCTTACAGAGAGGGACTTCATTGTCCTTTAACAAATTTGAAAAAGTGAGTTTTCTATATTATTTTCTGATTTTGAATTAAAAGATTTAAGATATTTGAAGCCTATCAGCAAGAATATAGTTCTTAAATATATCTTTCTTCTGAAAAAGTGTGAGATGTTAGTATATATACACTCCTTTTAATATAATGTATTGCATTTAAAGACATGTGCAATGGATACACTTGTTAAAAGTCCTTTAAAGAAAGAAGCCTACATAATAAAACATTTGAGGCCAGTGTAAAAATGAAGTGGAATTGTCCCAGTACTTTCTCCATTAAATATTAAGCACTCAGTTTTTTGAGAACAGCTTTTTTACCTTCTAATAATATGAAAATATTCCTATTTTATAAGATATTTAAGTGTAAAACTTTTATGTAGCTCATCATTTTCACTTCTTACAGTTTCAAAAAGGTATCAGAAGCAATTAGATTCTGTTGAATTGGGCTTATACAATAAAATCTTACCAGTCCAGATTCCCCCCGGAGCTGGTTGAAGAGCAGGGGTGAATGTCACGGCACTGAGGACTTTTCTCCCTGACCTCCTTTGTCGAGATCGTGCATCCTTCATAACACGAAGAAAGGGAGGGATGGAGAAACTCCTGTTCTTAAAACTGCTCTCTCCCTTTTCTCTCAAAAGCAAGCTTCTTCCAGATAAAATGGCGTGTTGTTATTTTTTTTCACATTTTATTATGAAATGTTTCAGATATAAAGGAATGTTGAAAGAATTATATAGTCCTGTCTCCATCACTTACTTTTTACAATTAACATTTGAGTATATTTGCTTTGTCACATCTCTATCTCTCTACCCAGCCATCAGTCTATCTTTTCCTTTCTTTCTTTCTTTGGAAAAGGGGTGGGTAAGTGCAAAGTATGTTCTCTATACCTCTATGATGAGTATGAAAAGTGAAATGAAAGTGTTTGTTGCTTAGTCATGTCCAACTCTTTGGAACACCTTGAACTGTAGCCCACCAGGCTGCTCGGTCCATGGATTTCTTCAGGCAAGAATACTAGAGTGGGTTGCCATTCCCTTCACTGGGGGATCTACCTGACCGAAGGACTGAACCCAGGTCTCCTGCATTGCAGCAGATTCTTTACCTTCTGAGCCACCGGGGCTTATATCTGAATGTTTTCTTTGTTCCTAGCACTATGCTAAAGCCCTTATAGTTTAGCCCCAGGCATGCCCTGCTGCTCTTGCCACCCTACCCACACCCCAGTGTACCCAAACTCCATGCGTGCCAGACTTCTCACCCATCCTCTGAACAGTACATGGATCCTTGCAGCTTCCACGCGTTTGAAAACTCTCTTCCTTCTATGGAGACTTTTCCCTCCTCTTAACTCTTACTCATCCTTCAGGATCCTTCAACTGTCCCCATTTGGGTGAACAGTTTTCTCCAGACAATTAACACCTACTTCCAGTGGTAAATGTTTAACAACCCATCACTGCAGAAAGAAAATGGCCCTCGTTTGTAGGACTTGCAGATTTTGTTGGTATAGATTCTCTTCCCTACCGCTGGTTTCAAGCTACCGACAGGAAGGTAGGTAGTGAACACGGAGTTTCAGAAGAGACGTGCTCAGCGTGCCCTGCAGCTGGCAGCAGCGCTCCCCACTCCACGGCCTCTTCCTGTCTTAGCCTTGTCACTGTGTGCTGTTGGTGATCGGCTGACCTCCTAAAGCAGAGACCATGCTTCACGCCTATTTCTGTTGCTAGCTGTTAGCTCACGGCAGGCTACAGAATAAAAAAGGATTCACAAGAACACTTAATGAATAAATGATTTGGGTCCTAAATTGTATTCTCTAGAGTACCTTCCACACAATGCTGATTCAGTTAAAACTGTGAGGAATTACGGTAGTCACTCAATGGATGGATGGGAACAGTGAGCCGTAGGGAGCTAGGGCCTGTAATGTGTGGCTGGTAGCACACATGTTAGATGCTGTCTTTGCCCTGGCACTTGACCGCTCATCACTGTGATGCTGCTGCAATTTTCCAGTTCCCTTCAGAGCCAGTCAGCATTCACTCAGCAGGCCATTTGGCATAGGTACCTTCCAAACTTCATGAGAAGTCAGCAGGGCCCTGAGTTAAGGTCAGGAAGGACACATGGTAAAAGCAGATCTTTAAAGATTCCCTTGGTCTGTATATTAACCTTTGAGGAAAATGGAGTGTGCCAGAGTGCCTAGCTTTTGAAAATAGTAGCATAATACCCCAGGCATAAAAGAACATTAGAACTTAAAAGGTAAAGCAAGAGAGAAGCCCAAAAAAGAAGTGATAATTACTTGAATGGAAACACACAATGAAATTTTACTTAAAATTGCTAATTGTTTTTAACCTTATGGAAGATTGCCTCTCAATTTTGGACTTTCAAGTTAAAATACGTGATTATATTCTTCTCTGAAAATTTTTTAACAGTAGTTACCTATTAAAAATTGTTTAATGTATGGCCTTCTTGGGCTTCTGTGGTGGCTCAGATTGATAAAGAATCTGCCTTCAGTGCAAGAGACAGTGGTCCCCTGGTTGAGACTCTGCGTTCTCAATGCAGGGAGCACAGGTTTGATCCTTGGCTGGGGAGCTAAGATCCGGCATGCCATATGTTTAACGTAAAAAGTATTTTTTGTGCCCTCATTATTCAATATTCTGAATTTTAAGCTGAGCTACTGTGATACATTTCCACATTCTAAATAGAGTTAAGTTCCAAGAACGTTAAATGTGACATTGTACTTGCATGTCACAGCTAGTAAAAGTTTGAAAAATGTGCATTTTTCCTTGGCCTTACTATAGAATTATGGATTGTTGAGGGTTTGCAATGGAACCTAAGTATTTAAATAAGAGTTTTAATGAATAACAATACTAAATATGCAAGAACCTTTATATCTGAACTTAGTTCTATCCTGCTATTGTTCAGCTCCTCTAAGTTTGATTACATATTAATTCAGATATTTTATTTAAATATTTTACATTTTCATGGGTTGTAAATGTGTGATATTTGTTTTGATTTTGATTATGTGGAAAATAGTGAAGGTAATTCCCCAGGATAAAGCTTTGAGATATTCACTTTTAAGGTCTCTTCTTACTGTTCTTTGCTTAAGTTCACTGACTTTTTGAGTAAATACATTTGAATTTTATAAAAGATGTACTAAAACCTCTTACTTACCAGGGTTGTTGAGAAATCTAAAGAGAGATAGCATTTCTTCATTAAGATGAATTGCTTATCATTACCATATGCTGGGAATTACTATTTGTTGGGAGCAGAGCTATGATTACATAAAGTAAGATACTGCTCTGTACTCTGTATAGTACTCTCCAGTAAGTCACTAGGTCTGAAAAATAAGGAAATACTAAACTGACTCTGTCAGAATGTTCTTTTACACTTAAAATTCCACATTTATTTGAGAATTTTTCTGAGTTCTGGCTCATACTGAACTTAAAAGGACGGCTGTACATGATTTGTTTCCCTTCCTTTCCTATTAGTTTCTTTGTTTTTGTTGCTCTGGTTATGGTTTTTACAAGTCCTTTAATGAAAATTTTCTAAGAGATTAGCCTTCTTAGATTTTTTTCACTTACTGGACTTTACTTTTTTCCCCTTCTCATTCCTCTTAAATATATCCAGTTACACTTCTAGACTACTCTTTGCTGCTTTTCTTGTTGTGCTTCTAAATATAGTCACCAGTTTTGGAGTCCTCCCACATGTTCCATTCCTTGTGTCTGTTGGATGGATTTTATGATCTGGCCATACTGTTTTTGGAGAGGGTCAGACTCTTTCCCCTTACTTAGCACATCATGACTTCTGACAGACTGGGTCAGTCAGACTGGGGAATGTTAAGCATAGAGTGGTAGTAACATACCAGTTAGTCAGACTGATGCAGGATTTAACTGAACAACTCAAAAAAAAAAAAAAAAATATGGGAAAACCACTATAAGGCGACTAATTGCTACCCCACATTTTTTCCCCCTTAACAAATGTCCTTTAGTAGTCTTAAATGTCCTTTAGTAGATCATAAATCATCTAAAATTCAAGCACAGAAACTTTAAACTTTCAAATGGTCTCTGGGACAGGTTTTATATAAAGAATCACAATTGCACATCATAGATAATAACTAAATATTATTAGAAACTCAGAATAAACTTTGAGAGAGGGCCAGAAAAGTTTTAGGCACACTCCATTTTCTCCTCCAAAATTTTGACCAATAGATTTAATCAACAGAACCAATTGTAAATGAGAATCCACCTTTCCACTTGGTTATCAAAAGACAGGATTGTAACTTAGTATTGCAAGCTATTCTGCCTGCAGATGAGTGAAATAAGTTTAAGTCCAAGGAACAAGAAACAGAACAAGCCTGTGTGCATTTCAAGATCCTGTTAGCATCACTTTTGCTAATGTTGCTTTACCCAAAGCAAGACACGTGGCCACACCCAGATTGGGAGTGGGGAAGTGATGGGGAAAAATAGACACAAACCAGTTAGGTGTGTTGGGGGGATACCTTCTCTGTTGCCATTGTCACTAGAGAAAAAGAAATAGACAAAAATAGGGGCTGGGTGAGGGCTTTTAGGTCAGAGAAAAGAGGAAACCAGCTCCCAGGTACACAGCTTCTAAGGAATATCCTCAGAAGGGTATGCATTAGCTTCACCTCTGACAAGTTAACCCACCCAGAAGAAAAAAGTGACCCATTATATTTTCACTTCCTTGGGATGTATAGAAAATCAGAGGCCTTTTTCTAGCCATTTCAAAATTGTGTGAGTGTTACTGAGACTCTTCTTTCTTATAAAAGTGTTAGGTCAGTGATTAATTGTTTGACCCTTATCAAACAAGGAAAAAATTTCAAATCCAATTCTTAGAAGTCACAGGAAACAGCAAAAATATTTCCTTCCAAAAAAAGATCATAAAGCTTGTACTTACCATGAATTAAGAGACCAAAATGTATACCAGTTATCACCTATAGACCAGTCTCTGAACAAACTGTGTGACTTAGACTGTTGAATTACAAACATTTCTGATATTATCCGATATTGTCTGCTAAGAATATTTTGTTATATTCCTATGAGTGGCAGTAGAATTAGAAAGAAAATCTGCTTGTATTAACACTTTCTACAAAGTCCCATATGTTTGAAAAGGATATCCCTTTTGGTTTCCCCAGTGGCTCAGCGGTAAAGAGCCTGCCTGCAATGCAGGAGACACAGATTTGAGCTTGATCCCTAGGGTGGGAAGATTCCCTAGAGGCAGAAATGGCAACCTACTCCAGTATTTTTGCCTGGGAAATCCCATGGACAGAGGAGTCTGATAGGCCTCAGTCCATAGGGTCCCAAACAGTCGGACATGACTGAGTGATTGAGCATGTATGCCATCCCTTTTACTTTGACATATAAAAATCTTAAAAAGAGAATTTTTTTTTCTGTTTTGCACTTCTTCAAACATTACCTTGAAAATTTAAAAAGAAATAAAATAGATTCACTAAAGACCATGTAGCATTATTCTAAAACTATATAAATAAAAATATTTAAAAAACAAAAATGTTTATAATAACAACCTATGTAGATTGGCTTTTTAAAATTTACTTATGTGTAACTTTTCTATATAAGTGCTAAAATGCAAAATATATGCCACCCTCTCTCACTAAATCCAGTTCAGTAGATTTCTGCTTTTTCTTCTAGAATTTGTGTAGTAACCAGTAGATGAAAGAGTATCAAGTGCTAAAACAAATGTTTTATGGCCATTAATACTATAAATATTATAAATACTATAAATAACCCCAGGGAACATAAGGGGTTAAGAGACTCCCTAGTTTGATCACTTCAAAGGACAACTTTTGCAAAAGAAGTTTCCTAAAGTAGTCTCCAAGCATGGAGACCGGAAATGAGTAGAAGATCCTGGTGACTCACTTCCTCTTCCTGCCCGTGCACGTTCTCTTTGTATAAACAGAAGAGGAAGGGAACCTGCCTTATCTCCTCCTTGAGTTTTCAGTTACCCATTTACCCCTTCCCTTGGAAATCTCAAAAGTTTCTCTTCGGCCTTTTGAGAACCTCTGAAGTATCACCGGCAAGCATTTATGCCTGGAAGCATAAGCTTTTTAAACTTGATCCACAGATAAATCCTTGGTTTAGTCGCTAAGTCATATCTGACTCTTGCAACCCCATGGACTGTAGCCTGCCAGGCTCCTTTGTCCATGGATTGCCCAGGCAAGAATAATGGAGTGGGTTGCCATTTCCTTCTCCAGGGCAGTTTCCCAGCCCAGGGGTCAACCTGAGTCTCCTGCATTGCAGGCGGATTCTTTACTGGCTGAGCTATCAGGGAAGCCCAAGGGGAACAAAAAACAAACCTGATTTGGCTTACAGCGGTTTGTTATATATGTAAATTAGTCAACTAGTTAGAGTTCAATAAAAAGTCACCTGACTTCTCAACTGTGTTTTTAAAATGCAGGAGCAACGGCTGCAGCCAGGAAGGAGGTGATAAGAAACAAGATCCGAGCCATCGGCAAGATGGCCAGAGTGTTCTCCGTTCTCAGGTGAGACCGTGGTCCCCTGCGCTGTTTCGCCTTTGATTGCATGTCGCTGAATAGTGTCTTAATGCTTTAGTCTGGTCATTTAAATATGGTACCAGAAGCTATTTTCTTTTCTTTAATTATGTTTTAAATGGAGTTGTTAGGTCCTCACTATTGTAGTCAAATTGAAATCTACAAAATTATTTCTGTAGAGAAAGCCTGTAAGTGGGCTGCTTCACGTTTTATCTCTGTGTGCTGCAGGACTTTAAAACATTTATTTCACAATAAAGTCAACGTATTATGAAATAGAACAGCTATTATAATCCTGTTTTTCATTCACTGCCTGTTGTAAAAGATGAATCTATCAGATGCGCATTTCACTAGATTTCTAGGAAATGAACATGAACCATAAAGCTTGTTTATGAGAATCTGTATTATTCTAATAAGTCATTGAGAATGAAAAGATTATTTAGAGTTTCATTTCCCATTTATTAGTTATTTTTTACATGGATCATGCGTCATATTATTATGCATGGACTTAAGAAAACAAGTATTTTCTTAAAAAGGATTAACTACACTTTACTTAAATTCGGTTATCCTTGGATAACACAAAGTATATTTCTCTTCAAGAGATTACTTTAATCTACAGTATGATTATATGTGAGGAGTATAAAATCAATTCACAATTACATTATTAACAAGGGTAAATAGGACCATCTTGGGGAAAAATCCATCTCCACATTATAAAATATATTCTAATTTTTGCCAGATTTTTTTCAACTCTTTTTCATGGAGTAGCTACAGTGGCTCTTTTGATTTCTCCTTCTTGCTATTTCTATCTCACTCCTGGTAGAGTCACTAAAGAGTAATTTAGTGATTTGATACCTAAAGCAGGGAGCCATGCGCAGGATGAAAAGCACCATCATCCTTTCCCAAAGACACCAGATCAAAGTCAGTAATAACTGTGCAGTAGCAGCCAAATCTTGAAAAGTCATGTTAAAGCTGAAAATAGAGCATAGTTGCTCCCTGCGGCCTGATGAATGAGGCCGCCTTTGCTCTAATGCTTTACATTCCTAACTGAACTTGCAGGACTCATTCATTCCTTCTAAACAAATGTAATAAAACTTAAAGCAGCAATTATATATCATGAAGAAAAAAAAAAAAATAAAGTATAGTAACTAAGAGGATAATCCATAGGTCAGATTTTTTAAATCTCCCTTTTGTTGTCTGGTTTTCTCTCCCAAGTCAAATCAGCCCTACTTATTTTGTTGAGCCTTAGCAGTAAAACTTATAACAGCTCTTTCCCTGGCTTATTTTTTTTTTTTTTAATATATTTATGTTGTCATGGAAGATACCCAGCAACACTTTGTTTTGTGACACCTGGTTACAAAATCAGAATTGTTTTCCATATCTTCAGGATTCAGAAGCATGTGAACCCCTGACAGTTATATAATTCCCAACTTTATCTTAGCAGTCATGTCATTTACATAACATGACTTCTATATGAATGTGTGAAAATACAGTGTGTTCGAAGTAAAAAAGGGGAAAAAAAAACAACAACAAGGGAGCCAAGGAAGAGGTCAATGTGAGTTCTTATATACATTTTTTTCCCTATAAGTCTGATGTTTTTCTTGAAAGAAAATAAAAGGTAATGTCCCCTCCACCCCTATTGTGCCTTTGCAGAGAAGAGAGTGAGAGTGTGCTGACGCTGAAAGGCCTGACGCCCACAGGCATGCTCCCCAGCGGCGTGCTTTCTGGAGGGAAACAAACCCTGCAAAGCGGTAAGCAGGCCCATTGGTGCAACCTGTGCTGGCACCTCAATCTGCTCTGTCATTAGAGCCCTGACTTACTCATCCATTTAAGCTCAGTCTTGGTCTTCAGTTCTTCTCAGCTGAAAGAAGGGCTGAAACCACCCCCCATCACTTTGACCAGTCATGCCCCAAATGGTAGCTCCTTCATTTGCTGGAGTGTGGTCCTTACCCCACCCACCCCCATGTCCTCATTTGCACAGTAATCACGATTTCAGGCCTCACTGTAAGACAGCTCTTTTAGCTCACCTACATGCCCTATAGGTTTGACCACTTGGAACCAAGCAGTTGCTAAAAACAACTTGTTAATTACATGTTTATTAAATGTGCTGGTTATCTACTGGAGTGATGAAATAAACACATGCACACATAAAAATACATATGTAAATGTAGGGTTTAGTGGAGAATGGAAGAAGAGTAGAGAAGGATGATTTTGTTTTGGACTAGAACTTGAAGTCAAAGGTGTCTTTCCTCTGACTTACTCATCAAAACTTGAGAGTGATTAGAATCATATTTCAGTTTTTAAAAAGGATGAAAACATTTCCTTGAAGATAGCTTTTGTATTAAAATCTATAGTTTTTTGGATAAGTGCTGTCCAGTAGAACTTTTTGTGATGGTGGAAATATCTCTATCTGTACAGGAGCCACCAAGAACTTATGGCTATTGCGTGTTTGAAATATAGCTTGAACAGCTGGGGAACTGTATTTTACCTAGCTGTCGTTATTTTGATTTAAATAGCCATATGTGGTTAGTGGCTACTGTATTAGCCCAGTCAGTATACTCTTTTACTTTTGTTACTTTTGTTATCTATTTTTGCCAATATTCTCATTAATTAAAGTAGCATTTCAGCATACTTTATGGAAATTTTGCTGTTAGATTAGACCCTAACAGAAAAAAATGAGAACAAAAATATGCTCTAAGGTTTTAAAACAGTCTCAGCCTCTTGCTTATTTTCCTGTATCTTTCCCTGAATCTTTTTTTTTTGTGTGTCTATTTTCTTTTCTATTCCTGTCCCTCAGTCTGGAGGATCCTGGTATTCCTATGGTTATGTTATTTAGGTACAGCTCTTTTACACAGAGAGTGATGCCCAGCTTCGTGGATACAGTGCTGCTAAACAGTCACCCCCTGGCAGCATCACTAACGTTTTATTTTCATATGATTTTATTCCAACATCAATGTATTTGAGTTTCCACCAAAAGAAAAAAAAATATTCTAAATGAAAGTAGGAAAATATCACAGTAAATAAATAAATAAATCCCCTATTTAATTTATAGCTGAAAAATTACTTTAATAACTTTGAAGGAAAAACACAAAAATTTTCTGACCAAAGTAAACATGCTAAGAACACTGGCATATTTATTTATCATATGCATAATCATTTATATGCATGAAATGCACAACTACCTAATTAACTAAAATCTGCATAGTTTCTGAGAAGCACAGTTTTACAGTACAGCAGATGTATTATCAGAAACTATGGATCACAGTTGCTTTAGAAGAATACACTTAATAATGGACAGGGCACATGTCTAATATGTGTTGGTGCTGGTGCAACTCCAGATTGTTTTGCTTTACTTTTAAATTTAAGTGACTTAAGTTCTTACAATTCTTTGTTTTGTTTTCAGATTTTCACCTGTGATTTAACCTGGAATTTTTATTTGTTCTGTTGTTTTATTTTAGATCCATTTGTGTCCCATTTGGTGTTGAACTTACACACTCAGCACATACCTACAGTAGACCTAAGGTTTTACAACTTCGTTAGTCCTGAGAATTTGAAAAGTCAGTGTATTATTTTAAACGATGTACACTAATACAATTTCAAAATTCATTGCCTGATTCACTTAAATTTGTCTAAAAAGGAGAAACTACTTAAAGTTTTACTGTTTGGTTTTTTTCCATGGTGGTAACCATCATACATTTTTATTATAAAGAATTTAGAATGCACTGTAAGTAAATTATAGTGCACATTTGGCAGTTGCTCTAGTCTTAAAACCTTAAATTATAAGAAACATGCAAATTAAAGTCAAGGGGTAGGATTTTAATATTAAACATTTTGGAATTACAGAGAGGTTTTGAATTTTAGCACTTAATTAGGAAAATATCCCCTAACCTTGATAACACAGAAAAGCTCGTGCACCTGTATATCGAGAAGATAGATCCTAAATTATTATAAAAATTGCTAATAAAGCAATGGGCTTTTAAAGTTTTGCCTCTGAAATATGCTGAGGTTTCAGTATTTAGACTGGCTTTTCTTTAAAATGTTAATGAATTATTGCTGCTACTCCTGGCATGTTACCACTTGATGGTAACATTTCAAGAGTTTTGTTTCTAAAAATGATATTCCAGTGAGGAAAACTGATTGCAAACTGGGTTACCTGGCAGAAGACATCCAGACTCTCCCACCCCCTTCCTCTTTCTTCTCCCTTTCTCCCTCACACTTGAAGCATGCTCAGTGTTTGTCTTTAGAGTCACACGTGTCATCAACTCGGAGGCAGCTCTTAATTTGCATGCCCCCTGCTTTTCCATTCCACTAGGAAACTGTGCTCTTTAATATTAAATAGTGTGAATTATTCCACTGACAATATGGCAGTGCTTCAAGTTTTGCCATTTGGGGGGACATTTTAAAACTGTAAATCACCAGTCATATCAGTGAATTTTGTCATACTTCACGTGAGTCAGATGCACATTTTCAATTGAGCTCATCCCTTGTAGATTCAATCTAAGTCAAAGAAACCTTTCCTGAGTGTTTTCCTAAAGGGTTAATCATGTGGTCCTTTATTTAGTTAGCAAAATCCAGAGCGGTTTGCTCAGATATGTGTATCCAGCTCATAAAAAAAAAAAAAAAAAACCTTATCATTTTCGTGTTTGTTTGTTTTTTTTTTTTCTTTCTTTTTAGCATTTCTGTTTTGTTGTCTGTGCCAGAATCCAGCACTTACAGGAACACTAATCATCTTAGCTCCCTTGATCGTCACTGATTTGTTCTTAGAGTTAAAAATCCTCTGCTCATTTTTCTCATTCATTTTGCACCCCCTTTCTTCTCTTCAGCTACTGTTGAGGCTATTGAGGCTGATGAAGGTAAATTGGCCAGTCCCCTTTCTGTTGTACCCGCAACAGATAAGGGCTCTGCTGGGTGTATTCATTTCTTTCTTTCTTTCTTTCTTTTTTTTTTCTTTTTTCCTTTTTTTT